TCACATGCAAATTAGATAGTAAAGCTAGAAGCATGCAAAATCAAAATATACATATGCAACATAGACAAATAGGATGAAACCAAATAAGTAGCATGCGGTTTATGTAAATAATTTGAATTGTTTATATGTAATAAATTAATAACCAAGCACTTCAAGTATATAACCATTCAACCATTAACATGCAAAAAATTCTAAGATTAAATCATGTAATCTAGTCTAGAAATAATAAGCATGTAACAAATTAAAACCTAGAATAGAAATAGAATTAGCATGTCAAAATTGCAACATCAATAAATTATATTTTATAACCTTAAAATTCATGCAAATCATTAGAAGGGGAATGATGAACACAAACTCATAAAATAAGATCAGAGTAATACAATTAAGTATAAAATTATGAATAGAGCATTCTAATTAAACTAAACAATTAGAGAATCACATTGCATAATTGAAATAGGGAGCAATTCCGCACAATTCCTAGTAACATTATACAAATGTCTATATAAATCTATTCGATCAATTTCATAGGAAAAACATATATGAAAAATCTGTTTTAAGCTTGTTTTCAAATTTTGAAATAAATAAATAGATTTATGAAGAAATCAAATATATATATACTAAGACACATGCTAATAATACAACTAAATTTCAACAGAATACTAAAACAATAAAAGGCATTTCCATGTTTAATAACCTCATTTTAATAATCAACTTGCCATTCATCTCTTTCATTTGAGAGTTGTGTAAAGAGACGAAACCGAAGCCTGCACGGAAGCAGTTTCCTTAAAACAGATTTCGCCGCCTCACTGGTCGAGTGCTTGAGGAATCCCGGCGTCTGTCTCCCAGGATACGACGGTCAAAACCAGCTACGGCAGAAGCACTCTCTGTCTAGCTTAGCGAACAAAACAGTGGCAGCACTCTCTCACTGTAGGAACTTTCAGGCAAACTGACTTGTGAAATGGAAGTAAAAATTTCTGTGTTTGAGACTTGACAGGAGGGTCTCAATTTATACATGTATAGGGGAGAGAGGAAGAGCCTCCAGCCTTTATGGCTGTTCATAATGCACCATTAACCTTTGCAATAAAGGCGGGAGTTACAAACCCCATTAATGCAGGAGTTACAAATTTCATTACTTTTTTTCCATGAAGCTAATTTCATGAGATAATTTTTCATTCAAATCTCAATGGTTTTTGACCATTCACAATAGATGGATGGGACCCACTTTAATCTTTAATTAAAGTCACCAAAAAAAAAACCATTTTTTCTAACATCTTCTTCTTTTTTGTGGGTTTTGAAAAAGATGAGACTCTTATTTTCCTTAGTGGATTTTGTTAAAGTTTTTTAGAAGAGAGATTTTTTTTGGGATGTGCATTCAATGGGTGAAATGTTTAAGGATAATTTTGGTATTATTTGTGGGAGAAAAATAAATTTTAAGGGTTTCAAAATTTATAAGTGGGGTCCAAAGAAATGAGGGGTCCAAAATAATTTATGAGGTGTTAATAGCACCACTCATAAAATATACCTAATTTTATCTAGTTTCACACATATTTTCTCTTTCCTTTTCCAAATCCTTCTCTAAATCTTCCAATCAAACACAACACAAAAAAAAATTATTTTCAAATAGTTCTAGTCTTTGTTAGTTTTTTTCATCTTTAATAATTTTTTTTTTTATATATATATAAAATTTTTTAAGATCATCTACTCTAATAACATATAAAAGTAAATTTTTTTTTTCATTTTTTTTTTAAGTTTGCTAAAAACCCAATTGTCAAACCCCTTCGAATCACACATAACTAGTTTTAAAGTGTGCAAAAAAATTACCAACCCGTCAACCCATACCAACCCAAACCAACCTATCCGATTTGAGAAGGTGGGTTGGGCGAGTTAGATGATAAATTGCAAGTCAAAATTTATCAACTCACCTACAAACTATTAGTTTAAAACTGTCAAAATATTCAATCACTTGCCAAATATGAGAACAAGCCAGGGGAGGATTTTGAAAAAATTTCAATCTGCCAAAATGGTTGGACTGATGATTTCTCTCAAAAATCAATTCAAACTGACCCGCGCATCCTGCTTGACATATCTATAATATTACATACAATCTCATTCACACACAGACTGAATGCATTAGCAAAAGAGATTCATTTTGCTATTTTTCAAAATGAAAATGAACACCATAAATGGTGGGTGAGAACGTATGCCTTGCCTCCTGCATTAATTATGAATTTTTAAAAAATTTGTCATCTATTTCTCTTTACATAGAAGGCATGCTCGTGAACTAGCTTTGTGGCATGGATTTAGGAAAAGAAAGACTTTTTCATAAATATTTCTTTGGCTCTATTTTTCCATATTCAACTCATCCATTCGGTCTACAATGGCGGCAATGCATGCTTTGTTGCCCCCCCCAAGCTATAATAATAACTATTTAGTGAGCTTTTATGTCTTATTTTTTTTTATTTTCATTTACTTAAACTAGTTTGCAAATAATAGTTTTAATTAACTCACTTTTCTTTTTTCTTTTTTTTAATCGGTAAGAGATTATTTACGAATATAAATTAATTTGAACAATTATTATATATTTATAAGCCAACTAACACCAATAATCAATACAAGAAAAAACTCATAAGAAAATAAAATAAACTCAATATAACAAATGACACCATAATGGGGAGTAATCTTTGCCTTTTACAAAAATTGATCCCTGAACCTCCTAGTTACGAATTTACAAACATGACCAACTACGCTCGCCCAATTAATTCCTTTAAATTAAAAGTTGGCACCCAAATCAGGGTTAATGGGTCTGGATTTTCTATCCTTGTGTATTCAATACATTTTCAATCATAAGATGTTGTGAAAATCTTGAAATACGAGATAGTTAAAACATAATCATACAATAAATAATAAATTATACATAGGAAGACATAAATTTGAAAATAGAAAATTTGGTATCACAAAGTTAACACCCCTAGGTTGTGTTTCCATCAAAGATTTTGAAGGAATTTGTATAAGAAAAAGAACATGGGAGAAAAATTTGAATGAAACAAAAAATTAATTATTATTTTTCATTTCTCTCCTCTTTTATTTTTCTTCCACAGTTCTTATTCAAATCAAGAAAATTACAAATACACCCCCTGAAATTTGCTTATAGTACAAATTGCCTCCTGTGATTTGAAAAATTATAAATACCTCCCTGACAGAATCTTTTATTTAAAAGAATTAATTGAAAAAGTAAAATTTTTAACTGTTTACCTATACAATGATAAAATTATCTAAATTATTAATTGAAATAAAATTTTAACATTATTAAAAACTGTTAATTAACTTGATGATTTATTAATAAAAGGACCTATTTGTTATGAAATTAAAAAACTTAAGAGACATAATGTAATTTCTAAAATCATAAAGAGTAATTTGTAATTTAAGTAAATCTCAAAAAGTGTGTTTGTAATTTACCCCATTCAAATCATAAATCCAAAAACAGTCTCCAGTCCAAGCTCTAATGACAAATTTAAAGGGAAACTATAGCATTAAATTATGAGTTAAAGGTAGAAGGGGAGATTTTGTTAGGTTTGACTTGAGTGAGTGGTGAAGCTCAACTTGAATTTACATACATGCAGTTCAATGATTCTCTTTCATCTTTTCTATTGTTGGTCAAGGTCATAATACCACTGTTTCTAGGATTCCAAAATCTTCAAGTGCGTGTACTTTTGAACTAAGGGACTCAAAGTGGTTTTCATTGAAAATATTGAATTTATATAGTGTTTGATTCATTAAAATGAATGTTGAAATTAAATAATTATTTTGATAAAATATTTATTTTTATGTCTATTAGGTAAAAATAAAAAATAATTTTTTTTTTACGTTTTAAATAGAATTATCATTCACTAATTTAGAAGAATAATTATTTTATTAAGACCATTAAACAACTATTCCTTTGAGAAGTCGGGAAATAATTCTTCCATTCATGCTCAAAACCAATTTAACAGACCAAACACTATGTTATATTTACTCAGCCTCTTTCTCTCTCCATTTGTACCATGATTTGTTTGGTGTAACTGATGAGACTTCTTATATATATATATATATATTTAAAATTACTTAATTCTTTTTTCTTTTTCTTTTTCATTTTTTGGGGACAAAATGGTAGAAAAGTACTAAATTTAAACCAAAAAACACATCAAGAAGAGTTAACTAAGTTATCATGTATAAACTCTAGACACTAGAAATATCTTAAATAAGTTTAAAAAATTAATTAATGAGAATCAGAAAAAATAGTGCTCTTAATTTATATTTTTTAATTTATAAAAAATTACACCAAATGAACATATTGTCACTACAAAAAAATTGAATTTTTGCGACGGTAAAATACCGTCGCTAATACTCCTAATGTCGTCGCTAATACTTTTTGCGACGGCAAAATGACTTTTTGCGACGGCAAGAGGGGGGTCGCAATTGCAGAGGTTGCAAAAGAGTTTTTGTGACGGTAAGTGCCGTCGCTAATGTTTTGCGACGGCATTTTTTGCCTTTTTGCGTTGAAATTTCTTGACTTTTTTGCGACGGCCCTATTTTACCGTCGCTAAAAATGTTATTTGAGACGGCAAAAAATACCGTCGCTAATAGTCTTTTTTTTAAAAAAAATACTGTTTTTTGCGACGGTGTGGTGCCGTCCCAGAAAGTATAAAAAATATGAAATTTTCTATTTTTTGCGACAGTGTAATGCCGTCGCAAAAAATATTAAAAAATAACAAAATTTCTATTTTAAATAATAAAATTTCTATTTTTTTCGACAGTATAATGTCGTCGCAAAAAGTAAAACCTGTAACAAAATTAATAAAAATATTAAAATTTTCTATTTTTTCTGACGGTGGTGCCGTCTGTCACTCTCTAAGAGCTGATTATTTACATTCCATTCACAAAAACATCATAACAGAAAATAAAAATAAAAATTGATCAAACCATCAAATTCAATATTTTACAAAGAACAATTAAATTATACATGTTCATAAAAGCATATTTAAATTATAAAATTCACCCAAATCCTAAAAAAAAATAAAATAATAAAATAAAATCTAAAATTCACCAATAAGCACATTGGATATTTAAATGCTCTTACAAAAAATAAAAAAATAAAAAATTTCCAACAAGATTTCAATTTTGGGCCTATTTCAAAAATCAAGCTGCAAATTCCTTACTTCTAGAATCAGATCTTCCCCTCGGCAAAATTTATCCTTTTGACCTACAAATAAATAGATAACAGTTGCAAATTATAATCTTTTGGAGAAACCAACTATTTAAACACCAGTAATGAAGACAATGAAGACTGTGGAAAGAACACTTACGTTGTCATCAGGAACAACTGCATATCTCTCAATTGGAGAAACCAAAGCTTTCCCTGCTCACAAATAATAATAATAATAATAATAATAATAATAATAACAATAACAATGGAATTCAGTTTTTCTTGCTCATAAAAAATAATAATAATAATAATAATAATAATAATAACAATAACAATGGAATTCAATGTAGTCCAAAATAGTGTAATAAACTCTTATTGTAATATACCTGGGAAATTTTTTCATGTCTGATGGGAGTGGGAAGGGTTAGACTTAAAGGGTTCCTACCTGTCTTGGATTGTAGAATACACAAATTTATTTTGTAGGAACTCACATGCAGAGGGTCCATCATAAAGAATTGTGAGAAGAATACTAATATGTGATTACAATTAACTCTATATATGGTAGTTAATCAGTTGTAACGAGCCAAATTCAGTGGCCAATAACTTCAGACTAAATATAGACATTGTTCTTAATCCAAAATGGCCTCATGGTCTATATAGTCATTTTGTATAAGTAAAATTTTATAACAATCATCTCCTGGAGGGGAAAAAAAACAAATTTAAAATTTAAAAAGCCAAAAGAGACTTTGTGGGTAGGTTATTGAAAGCTCAGCAGCAACATCTTCACATGGCTTGGAGTGTGTCATACCACATCAAGTTGCAAATATATGTCAAAACCAATCAAACTCTCAGTTATTTATCAATGAGGACTGTGAGGATGATAAAGTTGTTATGCTATCCTCCACTTGAATTGAAAGAGCCAAGTGGAAATTTTTTTGACAAATTGCAAATCAGTGAAAGAATGAAAAAGTAATTGTAATTTTATAAAAATCTTTTTGTTTAAGTTTTTCATGATTTTTTTGCACATGTTATTTGCAAAACAGTCCTGCTTGGACCCCCAGTGGGGTAACCCCCAGCACCCCCACCTCCACGTGGAGGGCAGCAAGTGAATGAAAAAAAAAAAAAAATTGACCAATCATGAGTACAGTGAGATTAATTGGGGAGATTGATATTAGGTTGTGGATGTAAATGAATTTTGTATATTTGTGTACTTGTGTGATAATATTAATTGGTTAGGATTAAATTTATGAAATTACATAAATGTTCTCGTTGTATAAAATATGACTTTGTTATTTTTATAAAATGGGATAATAAAGTCTTATCATCTCCAATCCACGGGATGAAATTGGATTAACAAACCCAAAACTCCCAAGGGATTGTTAATCCTCACTTCAAAGGAGTTTCATAATCTCATATAATTTTTAGTTTATAATAATTTTTTTAAACTAAACATATATATTTGTGAGATTCGCGGATTAACAATCTAATCCTTCCTCTTCCAACTTTTAAACAAACTAGGTTTAACAATCTTGTAATTGGTTTCTAGATCTCTTACAATTCATGGATTAAACCATTTAGCTTATTGGAGAAAAGCTGAACACTAAAAAAAATTTAACCATCACATCATTCTAAACTAGGGTTCACAGTCTAAAGAAAAAGAAAAAGAAAAAGAAAACTACTTCATCAGGTAAGTAGAATCCATGTTGTCTACAAAAAAAAATGTAAAAATTCTTCATACAACATTCAAACCCATCACAAAGATAGCATGCTTATCAATTAACAATCAGAATCAATTTTCAGATCAAACAAAACAAATTCATATTTCAGATTCAGATTTAGATTTCAGAATTAATAAAATTAACATACAGATTTCAGATTTCACAACTAAGATTAACATTACACAGTGTGAGACACAACTAAGATCAGATTTCAGATTACACAGTGTGATCAACTAAGATCAACATTTCAGATTCAGATTAACATACAGACATTACAGACATCACTGAATGAGAGAGACATTACACACACAGATTCAATCGGTGCAGTGCAGAGATGAGAGATCAGGGAGAGAGAGAGAGAGAGAGAGAGAGAGAGAGAGAGGCTTACCTGTGAGACAGTGTAAGTCTATTGGGGCTAGAGAGGGAGGGACAGAGATGAGACTGATCTGATGAGATGAGAGAGTGAGGGAGACAGATTAGATCAGAGATATATCTGATATATATATATAAAACAACCATCGGGCCGAGAGAGAGAGAGACAGAGAATGAGAGAGAGAGTTTACCTGTGAGTAGATCGGCGGTGCGATGATCGGTGCGAATCGATGAGATGAACAACGAGAGATTGAGAGAGTGATCGGTGCAGAGATGAACGAGATCGGTGCAGAGATAAACGAGAGGGTAAGAGAGAGAGAGAGGTGACTGAGAGAGTGATGTGAGGGAGACGATTAGATTTAGGGTTTTTTTTGGTTCTAAAGAGATTGGGGATTTTGGGGCGCGGAAATGGAAAAAATGGGGGGAACCGAGCGGGCGGGATGGAAAAAAAAAATCATCATAAATAAATATTTAAATAATAAAAATAAATAAATAATAGTTTTATTTTCTTTTTGTTATTAAGGTTGATTTGTTTCATATATATTTTAATGAAAAATATTTTCACTAAAATAAAAGTTAATTTTCTGTAGTCAATGAAAAATATTTTTCTGCGGCCTATTTTTTTTATTACTAAAAATCATGAACTAATTTTTTGTGATAGAGGAAAAGGAGCGGCAGCAGTAGTGAATGTGGTGGATAAGAGACGATGGTGGTGGTGGTGGGGATGGTGATGGCGAAAGAGATTAGTGGTGAAGTTGTGGTAGTGGTAGTGTAAATGGAGTGGTAGGGGTGAAAGAGAGGTAATGGTAGTAGTAGTGGTAGTGGTGGTAGTGGTGGTAGTGGAGTGGTGGCGATAGTAGTAGTAATGGTAGTCGTAGAGGTGAAATGGCTACAGTAGAAGTAATGGGGGTGGTGGAATGGTGTTTGCAGTAGTGGTAAAGGTGGTAGAGGAGATGGGTGGTGAGAGAGAGAAATGAGTGAGAGACAGATAGAGGAGAGAGAGAAAGACAGAGTGATGAGCGAGAGAGAGATAAAGAGAGAAAGAGATATAGAGAGAGACAGAGAGACAGAGAGAAAAATAGATAGAGAGAGACATATAGAAAAATAGAGATAAACAAGAGATGAGAGAGACATATAGAAAGAGAGAGAAAATAGATGAACGATAGAGAGAATAGAAAAATAGAGAGATAGAGAGAAGAGAGATGAGCGAGAGAGACAGAGAGAGAAAAGAGATGAGAGAGATAGAGAGGAGAGAGAAGAGAGATGAGCGAGGGAGACATAGAGAGAAGACAAATGAGAGAGATAGAGAGAAGAAAGATGAACGAAAGACACATAGACAAACAGACAAACAGATAGATAGACAAACAGACAAGAAATAAGAGTGATGAGTGAAAGAGAGAAAGAGAAGAGTGGTGGTAGTTGAATGGCATTTGCAGTAGTGGTAAATGTGGTAGAGAAGATGGGTAGTGAGAGAGAAAGATGAGTGAGAGACGAATAGAGAAAAGAGATAGAGAGACAGAGTGATGAGCGAGAAAGAGACAAAGTGGTCGCTAAAAGTGCATTTTCTTGTAGTGGATCGATAAATCGATAGGGAGCTCAATAAATAAAGAAGACAGATAATTCAAAACTCTGTTCAAAACTTAATTCAAATCAATTTTTTAAATATTTTAAATATTTAAATATTTTTAAAATATTTTAATTTTGTGGAAACAGATAAAGAAGAGAGATAGAGAGAGAGAGAGAGACAAGAGATAGAGTGATGAGCGAGAGAGAGAGATAGACAAAGTGGTTGCTAAAAGTGTATTTTCTTATAGTGGATCGATAAATCGAGAAGGAGCTCGATAAAAGAGAATATAGGAGTAAGAGGTGAGCAAGGCGAACATAGTGAGGGAGAAATAGACAAATAGACAAGTAGACACAGAGAGAGAGAGAAGAGTGATGAGTGAGAGAGAGACATGGAGAGAGAGATAGACAGAAAAAGAGATAGATAGAGAAAGAAAGAAAGAGATGGAAGATAGAAAAAGAGAGAGAAACAAGAGATGAGCGAGAGATAGACAAAAAAAGAGAGAAATAGAGCGAAAAAGAGATGAGCGAGAGAGAGAGAGACACAGAAAAAGAGAGAGACAGAAAGAGAAGAGAAATGAGCGAGAGAGATAGAGAGGAGAAAGATAAGAGAGAGAGAGAAAGAAAGAAAAGAAAAAAAAAAGAAATGAGAGAGATAGAGATAAGAGAGATGAGCGAGGAGACAGAGAGAGAAAACAGATGAGAGAGGTAGAGAGAAGAGAGATATGCGAGAGACATAGAGAGAAAATGAGAGAGAGAGAAAACAGGCAGACATAGAAAGAGAGAGAGATAGAGATAGAGAAAAATGAATGAAAAGAGATAAAGAGAGAGAGAGAGATAGAGACAGAGACAGAGAGACAGGAAGATGAAAAAATGAGTGAAAAGAGAAATATTATATCAAAAGAGTAAGACGACATTGTTTTTTTTAATTTTTTTTGCGACAGAAAAATACCGTTGAATTTATTCAAACCATTTTGTGACTGTATATATATGAAGCTATCTCAAAACCACAATCACCAAAATCTTTTAAAAATTCACTAAATAACAAAAATACAAAAAAAATACCATAATTCAATACATTTTTTTTTGTATTTTTATGTATTTATTAATTTTAAAAATATTTTTTCATAAATTTTTATTTTTTTAGATGCATCTAAGTAAGGTACATCTAAAAAAAATATTTAAAATTTTAAAAATATTCACTAAAAAAAAAAAACACGAAAGCCACTTTTTGTGACGGCAGAAAATGTCGTCTCAAAAAAGTAGAGTATTTGCGACGGCACTATTTGCCGTCTCAAAAAATGAGAGTATTTGCGACGACAGAAAATACCAATCGCAAATACTCTCATTTTTTGAGACGGCAAATAGTGCCGTCGCAAATGCTCTGTTTTTTTGAGACGGCATTTTCTGCCGTCACAAAAAGTGACTTTTTGAGACGGCAAGTGTGCCGTCGCAAATAATTTCATCTCATATACCCAATTTTCTTATAGTGTGTAATGTTTGCCCCCTCCATTCAACTCCCTCTGCATTCTAACCCTGCCTAAATTGTGTTGGAAATTGATGTCAAGGTGGTTATCTTTTTTTTCTTTTTTCTTTTTTG